GGCGAATACTTTATCCTTATCCTTTATAGGTTTCTATTTCGTTCTTCTTTCTCTTTCTTGATTACATTGATTATGGCAGTAAAAACTTGAGGGATGGACTGAACTGGCATTTTCTCGGGGCTTGTAAAACTTCTGTCAAACCGTAACATATTTTACCATTATGACCGTCGTCTATTATTATGCTAATAAATGGCCCATAGAATGAACACAACAAAAAACTTGGGAAGAAGTTGCGCAGGCCTGAAAAAATGAAAGGTGCGGTACACATGCTTGCCGCGCTGTCCTCGATGTGTTGAGTAGAGCAGATCAGAGTAAAGAACTCAAAACCATAATATCACCATCCTTTTGTCCCAGCAGCGAGATATAATTGGTAAGCGATTCTCCATCACTTTAGGTGTGGCGGCTTGCTCTTTTCTTTCATTTTCATTTTTTTATTTCTGGCATCCTCGTTTTTTACTTGTTTGTACTCAGAGAACTGAACTCATAAATCTTCATACTTCCTAGTCATTCAAGATCCTTTTTCGGAAGATCGCACCCTATCGGTTGGTATCACTATACATACAACTACATTGTTTGAATGATCAAATGTTTAAAGGCAAACTCCGGGATAAAACGAGGGACTCACCTGTTCGAGTATGAAGAGCTGGGTGCTAAGTTGATCGAAGGTAATGAAAAAAGCAGGAAATACCTCCAAAGAACTCCAAAATTAGAAATTCCTCTTCGTTAGTCGCTTACGAACCAGGGCTGGGAAAATTACGTGTTTGGACATGTCTACAGCAACTGTTGGCTTTGTGCCATCAACCGACACGGCCACAAAAAGTCAGCAATGAAAACTGATTTTTTCTAGTTTCCCTATTTTTTCTATTTTTCTGTGCTTTTTTGTTTGCTTCCTATCTTAAAATTTTTTCTTCTCACTAGAATGATGACAACGTTCTCAAAATGGTCGTAACATAGGCTTTGATGTTGATTTTCGCAGTTGAAATCCGCTAAATATTCCCCTACGACTTTCCAAACAACGGCTTAACATCTAGCGTTCCAGGTGGTTGTTTGGAAGATCACGTAGGACAGTGGGCGGGCTCAATGGGGTTGGGGCGGCGCCAATGCTCCAACCTAGGCTCCTAGCGCCTAAACCTTGTCAAATCGCCCCGCCACTTCTGCACATGGTCTGCCCTTGCGTACTGCTGCATATTTGACGGGGAAAACCTAAATTTCGCCAGAAATCCCGGAATTTGCCTTTAAGCACGTGGTTTTGAAGCAGTAGCTCCTTGGTTGCACACGGACGGAATAAACTGAAGCTTCGATATGGTTGGGTTTTCATAACCCATCCCTTTTAATATTTAGTAAGTGTGTAATTAGTAGTTTCAAGTTCCAGAAACAACATTTCAATCAGGCTGATATTGAAAGAAGCTTATTTATAGTGAAGAAAATAGTTTAAGGCGCTATCGGCACTATTACACTCTGTGGGGGCTGAGATGGGTCTAAAAATAATTTTCGCTGAAACTTCTGCTATGGGGTTATCGAGAGGTCCTGATCACGAATATGACATCCATTTTTGGCGCTGGCGCCAATTTGGCCGCCAACTGATTATCACCAAATTCGCTGTAAACTTCTGAATAGGGTTATTTTGGGGCCTTGATCACGAATATGACACTCGTTTCTTAACATTCGTGTTGTTTAACGCATATTTTCTGATTTTCTCACCTATGGCGGCTAAAATGTGTAGGAGAGGGGGGTGAAACTCCGGAGTGGGTGAACCGCGCACCGTGTGGCAAAAGTTGGAGTGTGTTAGACCACAGGGGAGTGCCCTACTCACTTTGGAGCCCTCCACTATTCAAAGGCTTAGTCCTGATTGCGATCTAATTAGTGCGAGGGCGCAGACGAGCAGGAAATAGGCGCCGAATAGCGCTAACAACAAAAAACGAATGTCATATTCGTAATCAGGACCCCAAATAACCCCTACAGAAGTTTACAGCGAATTTAGTGGGAATCAGTCGTGGCGCCACCTGGCGCCAAATGGCGCCAAATTGGCGCCAGCGCCAAAAATGAATATCATATTCGTGATCAGGGCCCTCGATAACCCCATAGCCGAAGTTTCAGCGAAAATTAGTTTTTGAACCCCATATTCATCCTACTCGCGGTTGTAAGGAGTGCCAATACTAGTGCCTCGTTTAAGTATACTAAAGATGTTCCCTTGAAATATTTGGATCATTATTGTGTGAAGCTTTTCCAGTTAGCTGTGAGGATAGGAATTTTGTGAAGGTTAGACATTTCAATGATCGGCACTAAAAGCAGTTGCTAGATCACCATCATGTGAACGTGACAGGACAGAACATTGAGTGGCTGCCCTTTTTGGTTGCCTGTTACTTCATCGATTTGTACATTACATTCAAAGGCCGGCAGGTTCAGTGGCCACATTCACATTGTTTACTTTATACCGCAGGACTCTCTTACCCTCTTCAGCCTGTGAATGTGAGTAGGCGTGAAGTCTGGGACGATGTGGTAGCGCATCGTTGAGAGTTGGAGCGAAATTAAC